TGTTTACGCATTGGTAAGTGTCTAATACTGTGGTATTTCTGATGGCGGCTAGTAATTTAGAATGATTCTGGTTCAAGGAATCCCAAGGCGAGAGTTATTTGGAAAACCAAAGGTCACATATGACTACAAAGCTTTAAACTCTCCAAATCCCTTTTCAACCCCTCACAGGGAGGTAGAATTGTTTGTCAAACTGCTATCAGGAATGCTTGCTCCTTTGACAAATCCAGACAACTAACCCTTTGTCCTTTTTCATTATTTGAAGGACATAAATGCTTTCCCTTGTTTGATTTTGTTATCAAACAAAAAACATTTTAGTCCCACCCATCAGCCTTGCCAGCCCACGGGAGGTTGATTTCCATGATAAGTTGAAGTATGCAGTTTTATCTGAAGTACTTTAATAACAGTTGTGATTGGGATCCCAGGCAATTCTCTGAAGAAAAATCCGTAAATCTCACTGAATTACCAATCATGGTTTAAAGATGTTGAAATTGCCTTTAAAGAATTGCTAAGTAAGTCCCTTTCCAGGACAAGTGTAACAGTTTGACAGTCTACTCCATGCTGATGTTGGAAATTCCCTGCAGAAACTGTGAAAATCCAATCCTTAGAGACAGCAGAGCAAACCTAAGTAACTGGCAGGCACTAGCAACTTTATTTGGCAAAGACAGTGGTAAAAACTTCATCATTAATTCACCTGCAGGTTTTTTTTAAACTAGACTTGGCCTTTAATAGAATTACAGCGTATTAAGGTGTTTTTCTGTATAATTTACAAACTGAGTAAACTCAGACATCCAAAGATGTTAAAATGAAAAACATGTTCCCTTTAGTCTTGCCACTAGCCAAGTGGGGCCTGTGAGAGGGCACATACTGTACATTGCGAGTAAACTAAATTACCTTGCATGCAAGTGGCAATATCTGACATGAGATATTGCTGCCTTCTACAGCTAAATAAGTTGGATACAAATGGACTTGACAGCATGTTTTATGAAATGCATTATGATTTGGAGACCTGGTGTTGCCTTAACAACCAGACGGTATTTCCTTAATTAAGTATAATTTTTTTCCTACGTGATCATAAGAGGATTCTGCAAACTCTGGTGAATTAATGGACTGGCAAATGCATATAGTTCTCTGCTCTAGGTAACTGTCAGCTCCAAGCTCTTTAAGTTGTCTCTGTCTGATAAGTTATGATCAGAAAGATACAGATCCTTGAGTTTGCCCCACACTATTTCTAGTGTGCTGGACTTTGAGACAATAATGTTTATGGTCTCAGTAACCAGTAATTTAAACAAAAAACCAGTTATCTCCAAGTATATTTCTTTTTTTGGATATATATTTTCCCCAAGACCTATATTTTTAAAAATAATTTATTCACAATAACTGTGTTTTGCTTACTGAAAGAAACATTTTGTACTTAACTTTTCCACTCAGTGTCTGGCACTTGTATTTACAATACTAAATCACAAAACTTTCCTTGCTGCTGTCCATCCTTGATTGCCAGGCTCCTGAATTTATACACTGGAGTAACCATCAGTCTGCCACATCTGTAATCAAACCAAGTTCCTCCAGTCATGCCTTTTGCAACAGAAATATCAGAAAGGTGAACTAGGCTTTTACTGTCCTTGGGAGCCTCCCAAATTAATTGCCGCTGCTACTACTGTTGGGAGTCGGTTCTTTCAGTGTGCCAGACAGGGCTTTAATTGATCAGCCACACACATATGCTCTGGGAATGCATATGTGCATTTTTGCATGTCCTATTGTAGTCAGGAGCTAAAATCATCCATCACTGATGTCTCTGAGGAAATAGGCCGTCTCCAGGGCAAAGGAGAAAACTGCTTGCAGAGATGCCTAGGATAATTTTTTTTCTGTTAAACTCAGTTTAAGCTTTAGTGTTTCGACACACAAAAATTGCCTGATTCTGGGTTCTGACTATAATTGCATATTTTCATGAATTCTTATTATAACCAAATAGCGTACTTGAGATTCATGGACACATGTTCCAAGATCTCAAGTTCAGGAGCAGGCCTGGAATCCCAGGCTATGTGAAGCCAGGGCCGGTGCTACCATTAAGGCGAACTAGGTGGTTGCCTAGGGTGCCAAGATTTGGGGGCGCCAAAAAGCAGTGCCCCCAATTTTTTTTTACAGCATTCCTCCCCGAGCGCGCGGTCACCACTCCACTTCTCCCGCCTCCCAGGCTTGCAGCGCCAATCAGCTGTTTGGTGCCGCAAGCCTGGGAGAAGAATTAGAGCGGGGGCAGCGTGCTCGGGGAGGAGGTGGAGCAGAGGTGAGCTGGGGTGGGGAGGTGCCGCACGGCTCCCCGGGCGGGGTGGGGTGGGGTGGGGATCTGCCGTGGGGGTGTCTCAAGGCG